GCAGTCGTTGAGGGATCAAAGTAGAGTTGAGGGGGAGGTGAGGGTGGATTGGCGTAGCGGGGAGGGTGGAAGCAGTGGGAAAAGAGACGAGATACAAAGGGAAGGAAAGGCGGTGGGGGGGTTCTGGTCGGGGGAAGGTGGGGTCAGAATTGCAAGTAGCGAATGACTCAGAGGCGGGCTGTGCGAAGTCTGTGTGGGACACGTGTCTGATCGACAGAAATGCCACGTAGATGGAACAGCGAGGGCGCCGAGAAGGCAGCAGCGGGTCTGGATGATGATGATGATGAGGGGATGTTGGGGGAGCAGTTGGTCTCCTCGCCGTCAGACTCGGAGAGACCCGGGACTTGTAGCAATCTGTACAATCATCATCAATCCAATCAACCGCAGGTGCATGAACGAACGGGCGTGTTGAACGTTGGAGGGGGGGTAAGAGGCGGAGCGGAGGAGGGAGTAGGAGTAGGAGGAGGAGGAGGAGGAGGAGGAGGTGGTTCTGGTGGATCGGCGTCGCCGCGGCCGAGTGTTTGCTGTTTAGATGTAGGGATAGGAGAGGAGAGAGGAGGGGGAAGCAGGCGGTGTGCGCGGCAGGAGGTCGCTGTGGGCGATCGTTCTGGCGGAACTGCGGCGGCGCCGGGCGGGAAAAGTGTGCGACAGCTCGTGCGACGCCGTCGCCAGCGCGCTCTGGGCGCTGTTGTGAGTCCGCACCTGCAGCTGCGGAGGCGGATCCCAGGTTCGGCGCCCATTGCCGTCCTGGGGACTAGGAAGGGCGGGGTTGGAGGGGTTTATTGCTCCGCGAGATCGAAGGGTTTGTGGGGGGGAGGGCGGGGAAGCGGGTGCTGCTGGGGAGGAGGCTCGCGGACGCGCCGCGCGCGTCTTTTGCGCGGGTTTGGATTGGCCTTTTGCGCGCGACATCTTTCCCGATCTAGGGCCGCGGTAGACGGAGTAGGCGTAGGCGCAGTAGGAGGAGGTGGAGGAGACGGGAGCCCGCCTACTTCTCCCATCTCCCCTGCCTCTGCCTGGATGGGCGCTTGTGTAGCTAGATTCGGCCCCCCACGGACCCCATGTATACCCCGCATGACTATGTCATCCAAGAGCTTGGACCATAGCCGCGGTAGCGACAGTGAGACGATGGACGCGCCAGTGGCGGGAGAGCATTCGAAGAAGCCGTTGCCTGCAGGTGCGGGGGCGAGCGGGGCGGCGGTAGGGGCGGCGGTGGGCGGAAGCGGGGGCGGCGCCGGGGCTCCCAGCAGCAAATCAACCTTGTCGTATCCGAAGAGGGTTGGCGCGCCGACGTTGGATCTTACACTCATCTCGCCGTCTTCCTTGGAACGATCTCCGAGCACGCCCAGCTCTTCCAGTTCCTTTGCGGGATTGGGTTCAAGTAGGCTGCTGTTACAGAGGAGGGACTCTGACATGTCAATCATCGAAATGATGCCGTCGGATACTCAGGTGGCATGGTGCCAGCAGGCATTACAAGCGCTGGATGAGATTTTCAATTCTTTGAGACCGAAACGGGGCTTCGACAGGGATTTCCAGCTCCTGCAGGTACTCAAGATCGCCAACCACCTCCTCGTTTCCTCGGTGGCAATGCTGTGCATTTCTCTCTCTCTCTCTCTCTCTCTCTCACACACACACACACACACACACACACACACACACACACACACACACACACACATACACACGTTTAGAATCTCCCTCTCTCTCTCTCATTCTGACGCTCTCTGTCCAAGTGTCTGTGTATCTCTCTTTTGAGTTCACTTCCCGCGATGCCTCTCTTCTTGCCGCGCCTCCTTTTCCACCCTTTCCTCTTCCGATCTCCCCTGTCCTCTCTCTCTCTCTCTCTCTCTCCTTTCCTCTCCCCGCCGCCGTCCCACTGTCTGTATGTATGTCTGTCGGTCTGTTTCTCTCTTAATCCCCCCGCATGCTTCCAAGCGGTCCTTGAGCTAGTTCCCGCCGCTCTCCTTGGGAATGAAATCTGGGTGATGTCAACATCTGCCTTTGCGGGTGATACGTCCTCTCTATCTCTTTCTTTCAATCTCCCTCTCTCTGTGTCTCTGTTACTTGTGTTATTCCTTTCTCCATTGCCCCCGCTGTCTGTTTCCCCGGGCGGCGTTTGCGTAGAGGTTGTCCACCGTTTGGCTTTTCCTTCTTCTCTCTCCCCCACGCGTATCCTTCACCCCACCGCGTACGTAAATGTGAAGCGGGAGAGATAGATAGATAGATAGATAGATAGATAGAGAGATAGAGATAGATAGATAGATAGATAGATAGATAGAGAGATAGAGATAGATAGATAGATAGATAGATAGATAGATAGATAGAGATAGATAGATAGATA